CAAAGCTTTAAAAATATTTCTTAACAATCCAGATAACACACCGAATGTGAAAATATATTTTTAAAGTTTTTTTGTAAATTAAAAATGTGTATCAGGTAAAAATTAAGATAAATCAAAATACTTTATATTAAGGACTGGAGGAAGTATTAAACAACAAACAAGCTACTACTTAATAACATGCTACTACTTAATACGATATTTTGATCATCTTTCACCTATAACTGATTGACTATGAATTAAATTATCATGTTTATAATTTGACATCAAAGTTCAAAATAGAATATTCATTTGTAAAACTGTTGAGCATAATTTTCCAAACATGACAACTAGTGCTTTGGTTTGTGTTGGGCATTTGGTACGTACTTTTTTTTTTTCCATATGATTGTTCATTTTAATGTATTAAAATAATTTTATATATAGATATACATATATTTCTCTTGAGACGAAAAAAATACCTCATACACAGCGTTCACAATATATAGGTCTCCCTTTGCACAGACAAAGAGACGCGATGCAAACGAAGAAGTTTGCATGTTGGCTCGTGGGCTTCATCATATGTAGTTATTGATGACCGATGAGTGTGTCATTGTTTCAAAATCCTAGCACATTTTTTTCAGCGCCTTAAAAGCTATAGCTCATCATCTCAAGAGAATAGTAGCAGTGGTAAAATATATTCCTTTGTTGTAAAGGGTAGTTCATTTTGTAGTTTGTTAAAACTGTAAAATAAATTGAACTAATTTGTGCATGCGATTGCGACGTTAATCCGTATAACACATTTTTTAGTAATTCAAAGCTGAAAAGGATAACTGTTGTGTAAGTCATGGTGAAAAATCATAGGAGATTTTATTTAGTGAGTAGATAAGGATAATGACAATATATAATGAAACAGGACAACGACTTTTAAAAGGAGAAAAATATAAGCCCACCAATATTAAAAAAATAAGATAAAAATTGTTTCTATTTTATAAAACGACATATATTTTAAAATTTTTTATAAACCCTAAAACGACATATTTTTAAGAATAAAGGGGGTACAACGTAATAAGAGATGGTTAACTAATTACATACGTGCTGTATCAATCACAATTCGATTTCACTGTTTATTTTTACTGTATATATTATTAATTTTTTTTAATGGCACATTACCTTGTACATATGTTGACTCATGTATTGAATTTGACCACTTTATTCATTAAAAAAAAAAAGAAAAGAGAAAACTGAAGAGTATATATATGACATTTTCCATAATAAACATTTATTATAATTATTATTCTATATTAAAGTTTATAGCAAGAATATCTGAATTCAATAGTTGACTACGAAATTAATTTAATTTTGAAGAGATAAAAATCTGTCCATTATCCATGGGTGAAAATGTTATATGCGTTTAAGGAAAAAGCCTCAGATTGGGGATTGAAAATTTACGCTTTATGTTGTTTTACACATGAGTAGCTTGCTCTAAATCAAAATTACTCTTAGGTGCACATAAAGCGCAGTTGCTCTAGTCAAGACTTTCAATAAATAAATAAATAACCCGATCAATAGGTGCACATAACAATTGTACCTTTTTAAAATTGATTTATAATTATTATTAATTAGCTCTTGTTATTATTGTTGGACAGTGGTGGGCAACTACATTTTGATTATACCTAGTTGTTGGGAGAAATACCTTAATTCATTTCAGAAAAAAACTTAAAAAACTATATAGCTCAGCAGATTGGCACATGGAGAATAGCTAGGCAATGTAGACAAAAGTATAAATGCAAGGAATATGGCTTAGTTGGTCAGTTTGGGAATAATTAAGTAAAACTAAAGAATAAGCTGCATCGTGTTGAATTATTTTATTCCTTATGTTGTGCTATTCTCAGCTAAATAATGGGTGCCTTTCTGCTTTGGCCACTTTACTTTGAGTATTATTTAAAGAAAAAGAAAACCTTTTTAGTACACAACAGAGTTTATAAGAAAATTGATTATTGGAGGGATCCCATAATGTGTACATGTTTGACCTTATCTGTCAAATACTTATCAAAGCCACTAGCTGCAAAACTAAAGCACTTAATTTATATGTTTCAAAATAAGAGTGTTTTCCTCTTCAACTATTTGTTGATTACTATAAGAAAGAAACCTATTTATTTTGGAACGGATTCAGTGGCGGAGCTAGGGAGAGCAGCAGCATTGGTCGCCCCCTTCGTCGATATTTTTCTTTAAAAGGTGTTTCAAATTTTTGGTGTATATTAATTTTTTCTTTTTAGATTTTTGCTCTTACAAAATAAAATTTTGGGCATTTCGCCCCTGTGAGGAGTATTATTAGTAGGGATGAAGCTGTACCCTTTATTCATTCATTTGAGCATTATCAAAACAAAATGGTGTGTTTGACTTGGTTAAATATGCTAGAGGAATAAATAGATAATTATGTTTATGGATCTAATGAGTTTGTAGAAGGTTGAGAAATAACTTTCATTGACAAGTAGTTCACAAAAGCATGTGTTTCAGATTTAACGTATAGAAAGTACCTATATTGAATTTTCAATTTGCTTCCCGTATGTCTCAATGCAAACAACCACCTCTGGGTTTGTTTTTGGCATAATTCGCGTGATTTTTTTTTTTCTTTGGGGGTCAAATTTTAACTCTAAGGCCATGGGGAAATATGTGTACACTTTGAAAATTAAGCTCGAAATTTTACGAACTTATTTTTTCCTTGTCCGTAAGATTGGTGTAAAACAATTATCAGCTACCACTCAACATATGTAATATATTCTTAAAACAAGACATTTGTTTTAAATAAGGAATCGATCAAAAAAAGTGTTAAAATATCGAAATTTGTATGATGTAATCTTATTATATTATTTTTTCTGCCATATATACTAAAGTCCATAATCCAAAGTTTCTTTTATATATGAAATTCTCTTTTTAAGTGAAAATGATTCTATTTAGAAAGAAAAACTGAATGCAGAATAATGGTATGGTCTATATATAAACGAACCATACTTTATCATTTCTTCTCTTTTAATGTAGTATCTTTTTTATGCTATTGTCACAGCGGTTAATTTTCTGTTGATATGACTAAATTGCAAATAATCAAAATGTTGAGGATGTAGTTTACCGCGGGATAAACTTTGCGACTAAATTAGTTTTGAGTGCAATTTACGGGGCTGAAAAATGAGGAAGACTTGTTATCTAAGTTATTATAAAAAGTATAAAAGTTTTTTTTCCCCAAAGTTTACTACTGTCTTTGTCCAAAAAATAGTTCATATTGAGAGAATATTTATTTTAACAAAAAAAATAATTCTTTATTCAAATCATACAACCCAACATCAACTCTTTGTTAATATTGAAAGGAGTATTAACTTTTGTTCTGTGTTTGGTGCTTCATTGTATATATCACTAACAAATTCTAACAGAATATTTGTTCCATCCTAATAATATTGACGCAGCTCATCAAGGGAATTAAACACTTTATCACGTCCCACAAAGAAAGTCTTATTCATTTTTAAAGGCTTCTTTTTTCTCGGATCAAGGAAAATCATACTGATACTCACTTTTGTCCTTATCATATTTTATACTCCCTCCCGTCCTTATTATAAGGCATTTTGATTTCGTTCTAAAATTTATTTAAAATATCTTTTTAATTGAAAAAAACCTTAAAAATATATTTTCATATTCGTTGTGTTCTCCTAATTACAATGAAATATTTTTAAGATTTTTATTTTAATTAAAAATATATTTTAAATGAAACCTAGGATGAAATCAAAATACCTTATAATAAGGATCGGAGGGAGTACTAATTTATAGTTACGTGTGGTTGTGCATTGGAATGATCTCCATAAAATGAGAAAACTACAAAATTTCCAGTCACTGAAAGGGTGGAAAATACTAAAATGCAGAGTTGCATCATATGATTGTCTTCAAACCTTCCAAACCGCCCCAACCAAATACTCATTTCCACTTTTTCCTTTTTTATTTTCCCCCCCAAGGGTTTAGACTCTCCAACTAGGACATAGAATCCATCATTCATCATAGAATAATAGTACACTTTTAGAGTTTAAACTACCATTAGACATTAGTTGACTGCAACAGAGAATTGGCTGGAAACGTAAGTTGACTGCCAGCTTAATTAAAAAGTCTACTACTACTTTAGCATCCATTTTCGTTGTATATGCTTTAGGTTAAACAACGAAGTACTGAGTGCATCTGTTACATTTCATTGAACTAGGAAGTATATGAAAAATTATTAATTTCTCGAGAGAAAAATGTATAGACGACCTACAAAATATAATGTTTATCTCTTTTTTTTTTTAAAAAAATAAAAATAAAATAAAATTTGGATTGCTTCAGCGAAAATCGAAACATGGATTTCTTAATAATAACCATCCTCAACCATATATAATGTTTATCTCTTAATGGAAGATACACAGAAAAAAGTACATATAGAACAATGGTTTCACTAGATGTTAATGATTGTTTGGATCTTTGTTTACTACTTTCACTAGATTTTTTCAGAAATTTTAGTTAACATATTCTCTATCTCAATATTTGTTTTTCATTTTTAATATATCGTTTTATATTCTTATCAATAAGAATACATGCTACAAAGACGATAACACATAATAACTTGAGATGGAATAAAATTGCTACTGAATCCTTGCCAAGACAAATTTTGCGTTTCAAAATTAATCTTTTCTTATCCCTCCTTACTTTAAAGTTTAAAGTGAAAACGAAACGTTTTCCATTTCAAACTTAATCATTAGTACAAAACTAAGCAACTTAAATAAATAAATAAAAAAAGAATAAATAAATACTCGCCCCACCTATCTTTCTCCGTTACTTTCGATCAAATCGAACACTTTACAAACCTATAATTGATACAAACAATATAAAAATTGTGTTTCTTTATTATTATTATTATTGAATCAACTATATCATTCATCGATACCTGAAATAACTACTATTATTTTAATATTATATTATGTCAACCTTGTAATGGCGGGGAGCAAACCCCCATGAAAAGCTCCTTCTCTTCCTTTCTTTCTCTTCTCTGTATACATTTTTTCATATAATAATGTTCATAAATCTCTGTCTCTTTCTCTCTCACACACTCACACAGTCGGGTTAAATTTGTGCATGAATTGGGTTGTCCTCATTTGATTGGTTGCATATAATTTCACCATTTCCCGAGCTCTGTAAACTCTGCAAGAAGTAGCGTCTACAGTTTGGGGAAAAAAAATGCAGACAAAATAAACAGAGGCGAGGAAGAGAGAACGAAAGTTTTTGCTGAAATTTATGCCATGAATGAGTTCAAATGACGAATCCCAACAGAAACCCACACAAAAAAAAAACAAAATCTTTTACATTAAATTTTTTCTTAAACCTGGGAATTGGGATGATTGTATTCTATTCTAGTACGGTCTTGTAGTAGTAACACGTATTTGCAAACAACAAACAACATTGCATTTTTCTCTGTTATTAGTATTTTTGGACGTCTAACGCACATGGGGTCCTTGAGTTTCTAATTGTTATTTGTAATTTTTTTTTTTGAAACTTCTGGGTTCTTTGTTTTTGGGGGCGTTGTCACATGCAATCCTCTGGTTTCTCTTTCTCTCTCTCTCTCCTTCTCAGTTTCTGAATATGCTTCAAAGCATTTTTTTTGGGTATTATTTTTTTCATTGACTGAACACTACCGAGAGAGATTCTTTCAGATCTACAGTAAAGGCAAGAAAAAAGCTGAGACACTGAGAAACTTTCACCTTCTTTTCTTCTTCACTCTGTTTTTTGGCAGGGTGTTTTGTCACAAAGTCTTGGAGTTTGGAGAAAAGGAAAAATAAAAGGTCAGTTTGGAATTTTATTTTATTTTTTCCTTTCTGGGCTGGTCTTATTTTCTGTTGATTTTGATCACGAATTGCTTCAGAGAAGCATTGTCTCACTATTCAGTTTTGGATTTTCTTACTGCTCTGTTTTTGCTAATAGTTTCAATCCTGTTCTGTTCTGTTTGATTCTACGTTATTTGTTTGGGGTGCCAGATAATATGGCCTATGTATGGACTTCGAAGTGATTGATAAATTGTCCAAACCGTTAAGTTGGTTAATTTGTACTCAGAATTCTGATGTTTTATTGGAAGTCATGTTTTTTGGTCAGCAGTTTACTGTTCCTTTCTTGAAATTGAAAGATTGAAGTGATGATGCTGAGAAAAGTAGTTTTCCGGGACTTGAGATCCCTCGTTATGGAAATGTCCTTTTCTGGGTCCTTTGGCAATAGAATTGAGGAAATTGTACAAATCCCCTTTTACTTTCATTTGTGAATTTTTTTTTTCGAGTTTCCGTTACAATCTAAACTGAGCAGATAATTGCCTCTGATTATCATGCTAAGGTAAAAGATTGTATCACTTGTTTAATGTCATTATGTTCTTACAGGTTGGTGGATGTAGTTTATGTACTGAAGAGATGCATTACTCTGTTGATCATAGTTTTGGTAAAAGTACTTTAAGTTGTGTCCGACACACTTTTTTGCCTTGTGCAGAATTAACTGGGGTCACACACTTGATCACTTTTCAGCATTATGCTTTGAAGGAATCGAGCTTATAAGCCAATTCTGTACAAATTTGAGTTTGTAATCTGTTTTGATAAACTAGTGGATGCTCAACAAAGAGATATAAATGGTTTGCGAGATGGAGGAGGATAATCTTGAAGAGATGGACATTGAAGTTCTATCTTCAATGTGGCCTGAAGATATGAATGAAGCTGGAAAGCAGTTCAACATTGAAAAGCCAAAACCAGATCAAGATATGTTGCAGGAGGTTACTATAAATAAAGATCCTAGGATTGTAGATTTTAAGAGACTCTTAGAACTTAATGGTAGTAGTGAAACAGGTTCCTCGCAGTTGGCGCACTTGGTAAAGAACTGGGAATATAAGCAGGCCTATGCAGTACGTCTTCTTAGGGAGGAGCTTGATAATCTCAGCAAGCAACAACAGGAATCTGAGCTCAAGAAATTGGAAATATTGGAGGAGCATCGGTTCGAGGAAGAAAGATATGGTGGTGACAAGCGTCCGATTTCTATATTCGATGAAAATTTAAAATATGTCTACCCAAAAGTTCCAAGAAGAAAGCATGACATAATTTTCCATGACGATAGAGTGAAAATAGATGCCGAGTATGATAGTGTTATCTACTGGAAACAAAGAGCAATGCATTTAGAGAAGTTGTTTGAGGCAAGTCTCCAGCGGGAGCAAATACTGAAGGAGAAATTGCAGGACAGTATAGAAAATCTGGAGAAGCAATCTTCTCCTGTGGAAGAACTTTCCCAAATGCTGAAACGAGCTGACAACTTCATGCATTTTGTCCTCCAAACTGCACCAGTTGTCATAGGACACCAGGTATGTTGCCCTGTGGCATGACGTCTGAGTGCAGATTCTTGATGGATTAGCATGTTCTTATCCTTGAATTGCATTTTTCTAAAATGAAACAATTTATTGCAAATGTCACTATCTTTGCAATGATTCTTTTGTCGGTTGTATGAGTTTGGTCATTGACATATGGGTGGATTAGATCTCAAAACATACTGGATACTGGAATGCAACTTCAAAATTCTTGAGTTCCAGTGTATTGCTTGTGATCTGTCCTCAGTGAGACTAATCTTACAGAAACAGATGAACCTCAAGTTTATATTTCTTTTAGCTGTACACCCTAATTTCCCCCTTAACCGATTGTCCTTAACTTTAATGATACATGCCGGAGAAACTACTCATGGCATTGATCCACCCAATTTTACAGCATAAAAAACAGACTGTTATCGATGCTAATCTTTGCACCCATATTCCTTCTAATTTTTTTTATTTTTTTTTTCCAAAATACAATTGTTGCTCTTTTAGTCTGTGTATCTAAATAGTTTTAAACCAACTTTATCTATTGTTTTGATTTCCAGTCTCAAACCAAAAAGTCGATGATGTTTGTTATTCCTTATATTGTAACTAAAACATTCTGTTTTTAGCTTTAACTCTGATATTGTAAGTCGCCAGTTAGAGTTTACTTTCTCTTTTCCTTGTTAAATAGCTCCTTTATGGCAAGCGTACTGCTTAATATAGACTAAAACTGTTTTGAAATCATCTCCAATCTGACTTTTCCTAGAATGTCAGCTTAATGAGTAATTTTTTTCTTTTTTTTTCATCTTTTGTCTGGATTGACTTTCATATTAATCAACGAAATTTGTTGTCTATCCCTCAACGCCCCATATCATTGCAGGTTCGTGACTGTTTTCAACTACCTGAAATGTATTCATGGCTTTTTACTTATACCAGATTTCTCATACTCACTGGTTGTTGAATTTCAGTTTGTCATTGAACTGTAGTGACTGAATGCATTCTCTCACAGGACAAAGACTTACGGTATCGTTTCATCTACAATCACTTCCCAAGTTTACGAGAAGAGGTAAATTGATTACATTGGATATGGTTCTAGTCTATTTTGTGGCAGCTAACGTGGTTTTCAACCATTAAATGTATATAACAATTGCTTCATTTTCAGGACATCATTGGGAAAACGGATGTCGAGATTTTTACTGGTTCAGGAGTTAAGGAATCTCAAGACTTTAAAAAAGAAGTTCTGGAACGAGGATTACCAGCAAAGAGGGAAATAACATTTGAAACCGAACTCTTTGGCTCAAAGACATTTTTGATATATGTGGAACCAGTGTTCAGCAAGACTGGAGAGACTATTGGTGTTAATTATATGGGAATGGATATAACTGATCAGGTTAATTACTCTTACCTCTTCTCTCTTGCCTCTTCAATTTGAAATCTACCCGTTAACTTTCCGGTCTGTCATTCATTCTTAGCTACTCCATCTTATGATAGGATGATCTCAAGAAAAGGAGCAAACAAGAAATTTTTTTCGTTCATTGCAATGATTAGATTCTGTTACACATGTTGACAAATGCATGGTTTAATTTTCTATTGAACACTGCAAAGGATTTATTTAATAAATGAGTACAATCTTTACATTGTTATTAGGGTCTAAATGGTTTGGTTAGAATCACATATGTCTCATTCGTGTCTCCTTTACCCTTTTAACATTTCATTTTTCAACATTTACTTATATCACTTTGAGCCAATGTACTGTAATAAGAATGCAGAAGTTTCTAGCATAACATTGAGCTCAGTAAGTTTAACCAACTAGCACTCTGGAAGGACCCAGTTGAAAGTCTAACATACAGTTGACACACACATCGAAAAATCTGTGGATGTTTTAGGGATTGATGGGGCATATCCATGAATACATAGCGTGAATTTCCCTGCTTAATAATCATAATTATTGAGTAACGATATGCTGATTAAATAGTTACTCTGATTATTCTGTAAATTCTAGGTCTGTCAATTAAAAAAGTTCATTGGGATTATGTTATCATACATTTGGAAGTAGGAGTTATTAACATAAAGCTCAATGGTTGGGAAAATGTTAACTTATAAATCTAATTATATTTCTTCTTCGAGACCCATGCATTTTCCTGGATAGTTGATGTTTGCACAAGTACAATTGCATTTGTTGTCAACGACTTTATTACATTCTCCTCTTTCCCTATTCTAAATAAACATAACAGTAACATCCTTCTTTTTTTGCTTGTTTAAAATTTATCTATCCCTCTACCCTAATACGGTTCATTTTTGGTTTTCGTTTCCATATTTTTGGTTATTACAATTTTCTGATTTTCCTGAACAAGGTAATAAAATAGCCTTATGTACCCATTAGGATTAACACTTTTTGTTTTGTAAAGCTTCTGTTCTGGAATGCTGTTTTTGATTGTTTAATTCTGCCGAGCCAGGTTAAAAAAGGAGAAAAGATGGCAAAGCTTCGTGAAGAGATAGCTGTACAAAAAGCGATGGAGACAGAACTTAACAAAACAATACATATTACAGGTTTGTCTTGCACCCTTTCCTGAGTTTCTTCTAATAGCCTTGATTTTCATAACCATTACTGACCCCTTTCTGACAGAGGAAACAATGCGAGCAAAACAAATGCTCGCAACCATGTCTCATGAGATAAGATCCCCTTTATCTGGAGTTGTTAGCATGACTGAGATTCTTTCCACCACAAAGCTTGACAAAGAACAACGACAATTAGTTAATGTGATGCTGTCATCGGGTGATTTGGTGCTGCAATTAATAAATGACATTCTTGACTTGTCCAAGGTTGAGTCAGGTACAAAAATTAATTCTTCTCTGCAAAACTTCTGCTAGGAGCACTTTTGTCTTCTCTGTAATGAATCTTCAAGAGTTATGGTACTTTCTGTATTTTGATAAGCATCACTTCCATTGGTGCTTTGGATTAAATTGATGAGTTTGTAGGAATTCGTGAAACTGACCTTTCAGAGATAATATTGAAACGTAATCATTCAATTTCGTAATACTGAATCAAGTCATCGCATTTTGTTTTAGGAGTCATGAGATTGGAAGCTACAAAGTTCAGGCCAAGGGAGGTTGTAAAGCATGTATTGCAGACTGCCGCAGCATCACTGCAGAAGCTATTAACTTTGGAAGGAGAGGTAGCAGATGACGTTCCTGTAGAGGTGAGTTCTCACAGAAACTTGACAAGTAAGAATACGTCTAGATGAAAAGATAAAGACTACAGGCATAGCACAAGTATAGGTCCAGCTCCTTGTAATAAGAAAAGGTTATGATCACATCTGCTTGTCCACTGCTGAATATGGCTTTCATCAACATCGTGATAAAATTTCCTTCACAGCTAGCAACATCTCCTAGATTTAGGGGATATTGTTTCAGCTTATGAGAAGGTGTGAAAAGTCTGAGCTCAATGATGACAAGGTTATGTTCCCACCAATTCATTTAGGTAGCATTTGCTTAGTGCTTTAGGTAGCTTAGTCAGTTGTCCTTTTTGTCTCTTCTTAATACCCAGGTATTTTTTCTTTGTGAGAACGTGATTCTTGATCTGTAGTGAGATTCAAAGCACCCCTGTCACCAGATGGGCGATTTATAAAGATACATATCTAGTCATTGTGCAAAGAATAGTTATAACAAATGTTGTCTTAACTGCTTCTAGTTCTTGCCGAAGAATACGCAAGTTATCTTAACGGCTTCAGAACTGTATTAGGAGTTTTTCACTTTTGTTTCTCTTCCATATTAGATGATATTTTATGCAATGCATGATCTATGAATGCTTTTAAATACATTTGAAATCAGCTCTTAAATTGTTTCCAATTTGTGAGCTTAAATTCTTGAAACACTCGCTATGTTTTTTTTGGCTACTTGATGGCTTCAGTTAATCAATATTTCACTTCAGGTCATAGGAGATGTTCTGAGGATTCGCCAGATTTTAACAAATTTGATCAGGTATAGAGCTCTTGACCTTAACTTGTAAATATTGTTTATAGCTGCTTCTATATGGCTGTACTATGAGCTGTAACACATTTGATTTAAATATGTTTGTGCACGAAACCAAATATCAGTATTTAGCAAAAGAATCTAAATATGAAAACTTTCGAATCTTTACAGCAACGCAGTTAAGTTTACCCATGAGGGGAAAGTTGGCATAAAGCTTTATGTGGTACCCGAGCCACGTTCAGAAACAAAACAAGTGCCTAATGGGACAAACCACTCCAGAATACTGGAAAATGTCAAGAGAGGTGGCAAATACTTATCACCTACTCAGAGTTTCCAGATCGGACATGAATCTGATATGAGGAATAACATGGAAGGGGCTTATGAAAATTATGAAGACCCAAGAACTCCAAAAAGCAATCTAACCTCAGCGGAAGATGATGAAGAGAGTCAGTCAAATCCACAGGAAACCACAGTGTGGTTATGCTGTGATGTCTATGACACTGGGATTGGAATACCAGGTGGCTAATTAAGTTTTGTTTCCCCTCAAAGAAGCTAGTTTACATTATGTTTCAGTTAGTGCCATTTAACCTAACAATTGTGGCACCAATGATGATGATAACTTTTTATACATCACAATACAGAAACTGCTCTACCAACACTATTCAAGAAATATATGCAAGTTGGTGCTGACACAGCTCGCAAGTATGGAGGAACCGGACTAGGCCTTGCCATTTGCAAACAATTGGTATTATCCGGAAGCTATCGTAAAAAATGAATTATTCTTTTGCAAATGTTTGATATCAAAGTCCTGCATAACCTTTAGTTACCATGCAAATAAGAAGCATTATTTTTTCCCTCCCACATAAACCTTCCACTTTCTGTTTGTATTTAATTTATATGACACACTGGGAAATATGCATGTGCTCCAGCTTGATATTTACATGAAAGAAATGAACTACCAACTTTTGTCTGTGTTGTGGTGCTCCATGAGTTTAATAATTAATTTTCATTTCATGGTCTAGCAAGGAAAACATTTTAATGTTTTTGTTGGCCATTTGATTCTGTCATGCATTGTTCATCCCTTGATCTATTGATGCTGATGGAGTTTTCTGCCAGCTAAGTGGAAGCAAATTTTCTGTACTAGGGTATTATATAATGATTAAAATTTAGGCTTTTCTGCATTAAATTTACTGTATATCTTCTACCTTTAATTAATCAAAGTTTTTTTTCATAGTGTGGAAAATGCTATACCTGAAAACCATCTTCATTTATTAGATAATAGTGGACCATATTCCAGTATCAGCCTGCTCAATTTGTTTTTATTAAATGAGATCAAGTACATATGGTCTATAAATGAAGCAGATGTTTTTTGCTGAATTGTTTTATTGGGATGAGAATACTAGAATATGCAGTTTGTTTCTGACACTTCAACAATTTGTTCATGTCATCTACAACTAACAATGAGTATCCAAAATTTCAGGTGGATTTTGTTTTTGAAGTTATTGATATGTCTGTTAGGAGATGGCCTTTCCTTCACTTGTTCATTTTGTCATTTCGCTCATTATTGGATGAACTTAATGCATCTTTTCATAATAGACAGTTTGACTTGCTTGAATGCGTCACTCTATTTTCCTAACTAGGCCATCTTTTGCTACCTTTCATTTATTGAAGAACCTTGACCACCAGAACCACCTAAAGTTTTATTTTGTGAAATGCCTGGGACAGGTTGAGCTCATGGGTGGTCATCTCACGGTGTCAAGCAAAGAACACCAGGGTTCTACTTTCACATTTGTACTGCCTTACAAGGTTTCACTTTTCTGTGATAGTTCAGATGATCCAGATGAACTCTCAGATATGCATGGCCATGATGGCCACGCCGCAGTGCAGGAGGATGATATAAACTGTGGGTTTTTCCAATTCCAACCACGTACTTTGGGTTCTCTGTTCATTCCTCATAATACTAGTAGAAACCAAAAAGCGCTAGCCAATGATCTTGGGTTTGATACCGTGAATAAGAGTAAGAGATTGCCGAAAGATTACTATTTATTACCCTCTGATAATGATCTAGGTGAGAGCTCTTCAGTAGATGCTACTGTCGAGACATCATCTGAATCTGAAACCGTGGAATGTTGCAATCACAGTACTGATAACGAAACTGCAGCTCTAAGAGATGAGCAAAGTCAAGATCACATGGATTGTCAGCTTTCAAATAGGTGTGGTTCCCCTGGTACTTTGACTATGAGCAACAGCCTGGTTGAAAGTCCTGGTGAACTGGCTGCATCAGATACATGTCAACCACAAACACAGGCTAGTCAAAGTCCTGGATGCTCCTCCAGCAGCTACACTGAGAACTTGAATCACCCTTTGACACCTAAAATTCTTCTTGTTGAAGACAGCAAAATAAACGTCATGGTAACACAGTCAATGATGAAGCAGTTAGGTCACAAGATAGATGTTGTCCATAATGGAGTAGAAGCTGTACGCGCAGTTCAACGAAGCAATTACGACCTCATCCTTATGGTAAGTTTTTAATATTGAACTAGTTTGTAGCTAAAAAAAAAAAAAAAAACAAATAGAACCAGTTTGTAACAGAAATTGAAAAAAAGAGCAAGGAACCATGATCATAATGTCTTGGTAGTTGTCCAAGAAACTAATACTAGTATATTATAAGTACACTGACAAATCATTTATTAGTTTCTCCGGTAAAAGAATTTTTAAGTTGAAGACAATACAAGTTGTACTGCTTGTCTAGGTCCATTAATCATAAAGTTGACCCCACCCTGGATTTTTTTTTGTGAATATAAAGTGGTACGAACTCATTCATGTTTAAACTAGCCTTAAAACTTGTGTTAGGGAAGTTGTGAATTGACATTAAATGAAAACATGGTTCTGATTTTCATTTATTTATTTTTGTCTATTTCTGGGTTTTCCTAACAGTTTCATTTCCCGAAAGTTTTTAGGGTTGAAATTCAATAAAATGTTCTCTATTCTTGAGCCATCATCATTCTCTATTAACTTGTGCCATCTTCACTCTTTATTAGCTTGTGCCAACAAGATGTGTTCCTTCTTAGATGCGTAGTTTGCTGTAATATGCATTTGACAGATCGTTTATTTTTTATTTTTCAATTGGTGATGTTGCAGGATGTTTGCATGCCTGTAATGGATGGCTTGCAAGCTACAAGGCTGATCCGGTCCTTTGAAGAATCTGGCAACTGGGAGGCTGCACAGAAAGCTGGAATCGAGCTTCAGTTGTCTAACTCAGATTCTTCACAAAATCGAAATAAGAGTAAAAGAATTTCTATAATAGCGGTATGCGTCAACTTTTCTTGCCTCAATTTTCTTCACTGCGTTCCTTTTTGTCTTTTTCTGAAAAGGGTGTTCACGAGGTTGAAGCTTGAAACACTAGGGCCATCTCAGCTAACTAGTTGAAAAAACAAGGACAAATGGAATTGACTCAGTTTGTTTATCATTCATTAAATGTTTGAATTTCTCTTCAGAATATTTGCAAAAGCATGAAGATGGAAATGGTTCGGTCTGGTCTGATAGTCGTAGTATCTGAAAATTTTTGTAGTTCTTTAGCATTTATGGAAGGAAGAAGGTGGATTCTTGTTTCTACAATGAATATGAAAACGCTTATCCATTTTCCAACTTTCTTAATCGCATCTCCTTTACTTTTGATACCAAACTACGAAGATCAGCATTCTAATTTCATATTATTTTCATGAAATTTCAGATTAACATAATGGCTACTGAAAATAATCAAATGAACTTGTTGCAGATGACAGCAAATGCATTGTCAGAGAGTGCAGAGGAGTGTTATGCAAATGGTATGGACTCTTTCGTTTCAAAGCCTGTTACTTTTCAAACATTGAAACAGTGTCTACAAGACTATTTGCACTGACGTTAGAATTGTAAATGTATAAATCTAATTGTACAGAAATGTAAGTGCTAGGAAAGTTTTGTAATCAGTGTCTCATGTTACATCCTTGTCAATCCTCCCCTAGTCTAGCTTATGAATGATGTCGATCCTCAGTTTTAAAGGAGATCGATGTCTTGCAAATTTATCTTTCTCAATCCTCCATTCTCTAGCTACTGATCAATCATTATCTTGTTTCTTATACATTCTTCTGACCTTTTCTTTATCCCACTCATTATAGCATAAGATCAGATAATAAGGTAGCCATAACTCTAATTACCAGAGCAAATCATTTACCCTTGATATGGAAACGAAACATGGGCATCTTGCGAAAATTCATTAGGAAAAGTTTGCATGTTCTAGTTAGAAAAGTTGTTCTGTTGCCAAAGTAAGGGTCTTAAGATCAACAGTTTGAGTATAGTTTGGGAGGAGTCATAGGAGTAAATTCACTTATCATTGAAAACTGAAGTTACATGATCATTTTCTTGTTACTGTTCCAGAAATAGTCTTTAGTGTTAGTTGACTCACAATAGTTAAGGTGAACATTGTTAATTGATCAACGTAGACTAAAGAAATCTCAAGCAAATAAACTGGGTAAACATAAAAGATCCAATCAAAGCTGAGACTTACTATCTCTGTTCAATTAATCGGAAGTCACTAGTTTACCAAAGCAAATTAATCATTGATACAAACACAAAATAATTGAGATTCAACAGCGATCTACTGAAGCAAATAACTTGACTAACTTGACTAACTACTGAAGCAAGTTATTAGGCTTATTTGACTAACTAGAGGAGTGAAATTATCATGTGCATGATTTCCTTGTTACTATGTGATATCACACCCTGTGTCACTTGACAAGGATGGACTAGGCGTCCATTTGAAAGTGGAGATCCTTGCAATGCAAATTCTACCTGACTCTGGGGATAACTTGAAGTGAAAGGTGGAAATTAATGACTTTCATCTCCGTTAATATGGCCTCTATCTCAGAACTCAGGTTTCCTAAAAGTGCAACTGTTGAAATCTTTCTGGTCGAACCTTTTAGCCAGCTTTACCATTTTTTCCCGTGTCAAATGATTATAGGTTACCACCCGCCAATGTTCATGTAAGAACAATGCCAGATGAATTACAAAAGGCAAAGTAATTGCAAAACCAACAATTAAGAATAGTCCCCAAAAACTCCCAACGTATAAACCATGAGGCTTGGCGAGTGCATACATTCCATACTTTTCCAATTTGATTGATCTAATCACCCCCGGAAAAATTTAATATCGCCAAGGAAATATGTAATTATACTTTCCATAGTCTTAAACTGCTCAAAATGTAATAACAAAACCAAATAATCATAATTTTAAATAATCTGACAAGTTAAATACTCATATTTTATTATGACACAGTATACCACAGAACAAAAGTACATATTGAAACACATGGGTTTGCAAGGTATTTCTTTTTCAACAGAATCCCAACTGACATCATCAAACCCATGTTGTATTCGATAGTGCAATACATTCAAACAAGAAGCCATATCTCACTTTTTACTTTCTCAATCAACATACATAAAAGAGCAAATAAACATGAATTCATTACACATGATTCAGCGTGGGTCTCATCTAAATAGATAATTTAATCACAATTAGAAACGAAATTGAAGATCACAAAAAATCTACTTGAAATCTTGGGCACTTTCGTTTCGCGGACCAGATGTTGGAAAGGCAACTTGCGGATAAGAAGTTCCGTGATTTTTTTATACTTCCTAATCTCATGGAGAGGTCCCAGGGCGATACCGGTGAGGCTTCTCTCCCCAGGTGTTTTAGAGTGCTAACTTGCTCGCAGTTTATTAAAATTTGTCAACATTTAAAAATCAATATGAGCACAAGAAAAAAGGGAAAACTGAAAAACAAAAGAGAAGAAAGAAATCTTTATATAAGCATGGCCGGAAATTATGGCCGATGTAAACCCTGACCGATTGTGGCTAATCATCAAGAAAATATGAACAAACCTTGGGCAAGTGCCTTCCTCTGAGCTTTACGCCAACGAGTTGTTCGCTTGGTACGTTCCTGAATTTTGATATGCTTCTTGAATCAGTGAATTGTAGTCAACCTCAAAAAATTCATGGCAATTGTAGAACCAACCCTTGTAATTCTTTGATCGAAGACGAGGAAGAGAACTGAGGGGAGCGGAAAATAAAAAATTCACCGCCTAAGTTTCTCCTGAACACAGAAAAACAAAACAGAGAAACTGGTAGGAAGAAATCAAAGTTACAATTTTCACCCAATGCAAATCACCAAAACGGGGAAAAAATTTCCTGAATCAACCCAAAAGAAATTGACGCCAAAGGAAGCTGGAAAGATGAATAAGAAAGCTGTGTGCTGTCTTGCTGTGTTTTTTTATAGACATGGTTGCCGACAGGGAGATATTCCCAGAAAATGCTTGAATCACGTAATAATGGAGAAACTTTAAATCAAGGTTGAATTAACTAATTATAGAGAACAAATTTGTAAGAAGCAATATACCGTAACCTCGTGCTAAAATCCAACAAGAAGGTGATTCTAAATAACAATTCACCATCTCTCCGCGATCTCCATGAATATCTCTGGAACAAGCCTCTGTCTGCTTGGTGATGTCATGGTACCACTACAGATTTAATACTGACCGTCTGATCGAACCCATTCGACGGACGAGATCGCACCAACCGTGGTACTTAATTTCTTGGACATTTAATTTCTTACCTATTGTGTCTTTTATTTAAGTAAATCTTGTTATGTCGCGCTATGCGCGTCCGGTTTTAATATTGAGTTTGACTTAAAGAATGAAAAAACTCAGCAACTCCAACTGAATTCAGGCCTACTTGTTATAGACATTCAGTCGTATACAAAAAATCCCAATTCTTGTAACTGATTCAATTGACTTAATCTCAGAATTGCTACCATAAACCAGAAGAAAGCATACCACAATCAGAGGACTATGCTTCACAAAAATATTTTATCCAAATTATTGGCCAATCCAAGTAAAACTTATCACTTCAAACTCTCAGCATGCAGAAGTTATAAAACCATATCAACGTCCATACTTTTTATTGATATTTCATTAGAAACAACCATAAAAGCCAATCCAGTTGATTCACAAAAGGGAGAAATAACCAAAATAGTGAAAAGAAAAGAAAGAACAAAAAAAGAAACTATTTATCGAACACTTTAATGGTTGCTTTTAAAGCTCTTTTAATCAACATCAATTCAATGCAGAATAAACCAAGCTCCTGAAAAGCACTACCGTAAAGATAATAGAGGGAAATCTTACAAGATGAGAAAGGGCTTAGTTTTGTTGCTTGTAAGTAGCTTGAAACATTTTCTTTTTACAATTGATTCAGGTTTCAACCGTGATAACAGTCCTGCCGCAACCGTAGAAGCACTCCAACCTTCACAAAATCCGAATCTCAGCTGCTATATACTATCGTTGAATGCCCATATAATACTGAAATTCAATTAACAAAAGAAATAATGTTAAAGGTCTACAATAACGTTGTGTCCATATCTAGCTGAAGAGAACCGGACATGTAATTTATGTACATGTAAAACCAAATTAGTAACTCCAAGGTAGATTTCTGCCAAGGCTTATACTTGATTTCTTAAAATTGACTTCAAACCAACAACATCGATTAGCTTAAAAGCAGTAGGTAGACACCATGAAGAAAAGCTACCATCTAATTTTCCCAAAACTTTGATAAAATTCAATTGTCAACAAAAGAACAAGTTATCCAACTTGCAAGATTTGGTATACAGAAGCTATGAACCAGAGAAATCCAAGTATGATCACGTTCAAGAGATCTCATCATCCATTATAGCAAGGAAAATGAATAAACATGCAATAACCATCACGTTCTGTGACAATACACCAGTCCAGAAAACTACAAAGACTAAAAAAAAAAAAGGAAAACAATCGGAAAGCAAGGTAACAAAAGCAATTTCTAACCAGTTGGATCCAATCACCTACCCGAATTGGCTAGCGCTATAACCCCTCTGGGTCTTATGTGGAATCATCTTACAAAGGAACATTTGATCAATCACTCCCGCTCCTCTCAGAAAAGATTAAAATAATGTAACAAACCTAAGGCTAGAAAAAAATAAAAAAGGAAAAAAGACCCTCATGATGGTGAACCATTCCATATGGAAAGGGGATTTAGAATTTAAAATTAACAAAGGAAAGAAACAACAATGAACTCTCGTAGAAAACAAACGCGGATGAACACAGAGTACCAAGATTCAGAGGAATTAAAAGACCCAGAATCAAAAAGAAGAGAATAAAAGAACCTTACATAAAAAAATCCCGCTTTCCATTAATCCAAGTGAGCATAAAAAATTATACTCCTTCCGTCCCATAATTATTGTCCTGTTTAGTTTTAATTTCTAGTTCAAATTGTACTAAAGATGAAATCTCAAAGTATAAAGATGAAATCTCAAAAGTAGACAATAATTTTGGGACAGAGGGAGTATATCATTAGAGTGAAATTGGTGGCGATTATGGCTGAGGCGGTGCGTGGAGCTAACTGTGGAGGTAGAGACGGATTCCGATTTGGTGGTTGCGGCGGAGACCAAGGAATTGGAAGAGGAGGCGAGGGGAATAAAGTCAGACGTCAATAAATGGGTTAAACCGACGTCTTTTTCACCGCCTAGTTATCCATTTAATAAATTTAGGAAAATTCCAATTTGCACGTAACTGACATATATCCCCCAACATCTCTTTACCAATCAGAAAGTTCAATTTATTTATTGGCCAATCAGATCACTTAATTGAAGTTTAAATGACTTCTAACCAATCAGAATCGAAATTCTAAACTCACAAGAGAGTTTTATTGTTAGTAGAGATAAGGATAATTACCTTGCTATATTGTAATTGTGATATCTCATTAATAAAGATTTGTGAGAGATTAAATAAAGGAAAAAAATAAATCTCAATGAAATTATTAAAGAGGAAACTTTTTTTTTCCAACCATTACATTTTGAATTAAAAATCATTTGAAAACTATAATCGATCCAAAATAATGATACTCTCTCCATCATAGGAAAGTAGTTCACGTTGAATTTTGAGATTGTAATGATCTCGGCGTTATCGCTTCAATAGATGGTTGCACGGTTTATGAACCATTTCATTACTATCCGTGATGCTTTTGTGTTCATGAAAGTGCAG